TAAATTCCTTGGAAGACATAATCGGTTAGGATGCTATGATCCTGTGAATTTAACTTGGAAATGGTAAAAGGAGATATTTGAGAGGGTATTTTTCTATAATTCTCTTGGATCTTGCAAGAAACATGAATTGGCTTGGGTATTGCTCATTTGTGAAATTGAATCAAATATTGCGAAGAAATTTATTTATGTTATTAAGAGATTAAGTGAATTCTTGAAAGTTTTATGGTTATTAATTTATAAATTATAGTGTTGTCTTATGATGTAATTTTAGAATCAAATTAGAACTGGAAAGAAATTTTTATAATTATAGGAATTCAATTAAATTGCATTATCTTATATTCTTATAGGGGGTTTGGAAGAAGAAGATTTTGATAGGAACTAAAAAGGGAGAAAATCTTTAAAAATTTGGGAACGCCACAGGTAAGTGGATAACGTCCCAATCAATATATATTAGAAATTTTTCTTTATCAAAAGATTGCATTTAATAATTTAAGGATATTTATAAATTTCTCCTGCTTTAGCTACTTTTGTTAATTAAATTGCTCTGCTTTTTGAAGTCATGACTTATACTTTTTATATTGATGAAAATGCTTTCTTAAATTCTAGTAGTGCTTTATTTGATAAAGCCAATTATAAAAAATTTGTGAACAGTTTATGAGATATTAATTGTGAATTTTTATATTTAGAAATATTGGTACTTTTATATGTTTCATGCGAGTTAGATTTTAAAAAGAGAAATTACATTTTGAAAGTGATGATTTCCTCACATGTCTGAAAGTGAATTTAAAAAGGGACTGTATACAGAACGCTGGTTGCTAACGGCAGTTCCGTTAGCCCTTGGCGCGCCATGGTCAATTACTAGCTAGTTTGGATTTCGTGAGCTTTGTTCTCACGTCTGTTATTCGTGGGTCTTGTACCTGCGTCTGTTTCGTGGCTTTGACCATGTCTGGTTAGTTACCCTCATGGACTATGTATCCATGTCTATTTCATGGCTTCGGCTGCGTCTGGTTACTTAACCTTGTGGACTATGTGTCCACATTTGTTTTCGTGGCATAAGTCAGTTTGGTGATTTATCCTCGTGGACTATGTGTTCATGTTTGTTACTTGTTCTGATAAGTTCCTATACTTATGAGTTAATGAATTATGATTTTATTCAAAGTTACATAGAATCTTTTTATTCTGAATTTAATTAAGTCTTCTTGTAGATCATTGTGTTTTTTTTTAATTTTTATGTTTGATTATTTATTATTGGGACGTTATTCACTGGAAAATAATTTTTGGTCTCAGATAGTGTAGCTGAAGTTGAATCACCCACTGAACATTGAGGAGCTTTTGATTGATTAGAAGCGGAGGAGCTAAGGATTTAACTTTCTCTTGACATAAAGTTTTAATTATGAAATTTTATTTTGTAAACTTATTGTTAGGTGCTCCACATAGTCTGTGGTCAGTTTTTTTTTATGTGGTTATATATTTTATCTGTCAGCTGGAAGGAGCTCTACTCCTGATTGGCTTGATATTTTTAGTTGAAATATTGTCTTGTAGAATTTTTGGGAGATCTTATTTACAGAGGAGATTCTGTCGAAATTTTTACAAAAATATTGAGACTTTTATTACTATAAAAAATGTTTACGTATGTTCTAATTCAAACTAAAACATAATTATCTTTTAGTTATGAAAAGATTACCCAATTCGAGGCTTAAGGGATGTGTGATGGATCACATCCTTTGCCGGTCACCCTCTATTTTTGGGGTGTGACAGATTGGTATCAGAGCTTAGGTTTTTCTATCGCTATATGGAGTAAGGACACTTCAATGGGGTCTCAATTATCATTATGAACCCGGGCATAATCATAATTGAGGCATCATTGAAGGCCTTCTAGGGAGTTCTTGGATGTTGTTTCTTTCGTTGTCTTTGATTTCCCCTATCATATAAGTTTTATTTACTTAAAGTGAATACTTTTTATGTTTTCTTGATTAGTGAAAATGCCGCCTCGACGTCGAGTGTCTACTAAAATTCCTACTAGTAGTAGGACTTTGGGCAGAATCTCTTTACCTGATAATTCACCATTAAGAGGTAGAGGACATCGTAGAGGTAGAAGTAGAACTAAGGGTGGTCAAACCCTTAGGCCTCTTCAAGACATTCCTTCTAGAGTTAAACGTGTAAATTCTCAGTCTGAGGAACAGACTGCCCTTTTGACACATAATACTCAAGAGGAAACTCCCACAGTTAAATTGTCAGAATTTATGAAGTTAAACCCACCTTCTTTCTCTAGAACTAATGCACAAGAAGACTCGATTGAGTTTCTTGAGGGTATTGAAAAGAGGTGTCGAGCCTTAAGATGCCCTGATGTGCAGTATGTTGAATTTACAATATTTCAGCTTCAAGGAGTGGCAAATACCTGGATAAAAATTGTGCCAGGTATAATGGCAACTGGAGTACCATCATTGTCATGGGATGAGTTCAAGATTGCTTTTCTGAAGCGCTATTTGCCCCAAAGTATTAGAGATGCAAAGATTGAAGAGTTTTTAACCTTGAAGTACAGCAAGGGAATGTCAATAGTGGAGTATGATCAGAAATTTACAGAGCTGTCTTCCTTTGCTTCTCATATCGTACAGATTAGCAGATTTATACATGGGTTGCCAGTAGATATACATGATTCTGTAGCTCCTATGCTGGATTACTTTAAAACCTATTCTGAAGTTGTAGATAGTGCATTGAGGATTGAAAATCGATAGAAAGAAGATGAGATAGCTTCTAATAAATGCAAAGTAGAAAGTAATGAGAAGTTTCAAGGCTCTTTCTCTAGAAGCCATCAAATTCAAAGTCGATCTCATTCTCATACCCCTTAATCTATGCCTGGGGTATCCGAATCTCCATCAGCAAATATCCCTGCTAGTCCTAGTTTTGGGAATGTTAAACCCCAAACTCGGTTAATAGTGAAACCGTTGAGTTATGCTAGAATCCCTTGTGCCATTTGTGGGAAGTATCATACGGGGCTATGTCTTAGGGTGACTGGTGCATGCTTTAGGTGTGGATAGATGGGACATTTGAGAAGAGACTGTCCCTTTTCTCAGTCTATGTCGAGCCATAAATTAATTCAACCTCATCCCTACCCTACTTACTTTTTAACTCCACCTGTCAAGGCCACTTTTACTTCAGCCACCAACAGTATGTCAGGAAGGGGAAAGGGAAAGCGGGAACAGTCTTCTAGGGAAGGACAAGCAAGAGTTAATGCTATGACGAGACAAGATGCTAGAACTTTGAATGCTGTTGTTACAGGTACTACTACTATATACTTTAATTAGGCTTATGCATTTTTAATTTTGGATCAATTAAGTCATATGTGTTTGTTTATTTTGCTAAGAGGTTGGGTAAAGAATCTAATAAACTTAATGATCCATTTGTACTTAGTACTCCAATTAGGAAATCTTTGATTGTCTCTTATGTGTAGAAGTCTTATAAAGTGTCTCTTGAGGGTAGAGAAACCCTTATCAATTTGATGATATTTGATATGATATTGAGCAAGGACTAGTTAGTTTCCTGTCATGCTACCATTAATTGTCACTTAAAGGTGGTGAAATTTTATATCCTAGGCAAAACTCTTTTTGTACTGCAAAGGAGTTTTATAGAAAGACCTGCTAACCTAATTTTGACCTTAGAAGCTCAACAATTGCTAATGAAGTGTTGTCAAGGGTTTTTAGTTGAGAAATATTGATAATCCTACCATTAGTTTGAATCATATACCACTTGATCGAGAGATGGAATTTGTCATTAACTTGATTTCAAAAATTCAACTAATTTCTATTCCGCCTTATAAAATGGCACCATTTGAGTGGAGAGAACAATAAATTTATGTTAAATTTTCTAAATATGAATTTTGGCTTGATAAATTGTTTTCTTGGGATGTGTTTTAAAGGCGGTATTCAATTGAGCACAAGTAAAGTAGAAGCAGTGAAGAATTGGCCATAATGCACAATAGACATAGAATTTGAAATTTCTTGAGCCTCATGGGGTATTACCATTATTTTGTAAATAATAATAATAATGATAATAATAATAATAATAAAAGTATTTAGGAATGTTTGATTTTTACACCAGTCTTAAGATTACTATTAGGTATGGGTAGAGTTTGCTCCTTATAACAATGATCAAGCCAATATTCAAATGGCTTTATATGAGGTGTTTTATGACAGACAACTTAGGTTTGGTATCGAATGATTCGATATTGGTGACACTAAGCTTTTAAGACTAGATTTGGTGCAAGATACTATTGAAAAAGTGAAATTAGTTAACACAGGATTGATAACAGTTCGGAGTTGACAAAAAATTCCATGTTAGTAACTGATATTAGGAATTAGAATTTATGGTTTGGGATAAGTATCTCTCAAGGTGTCTCCCATGAAAGGGGTAATGAGATTTAGAAAGAAGGGCAAGTGAAACTCGAGGTATATTGGTCCATTTGAGATCTTAAAGAAGGTTGGTACAGTTGCTTATTATTTGGCATTACCACATGAATTGTCGAGTATTCATCAAGTGTTTTATGTATCAATGCTATGAAAATACTTATGACCATTCTCATATGATGGAGACTCAAGGAATCCATATATACTTAGATTTATCAAAAAAAAAAGTACCTATGACTATTTTTGGATACACAAGTAAAGAAGTTACGGTCGAAAGAAATTGCTTGGGCAAAAGTATTGTGGTGTAATTATTCTTAGGATGAATTATATGGGAAGTCAAAAGTCATATGCATGCTATGCATTCACACCTATTTGAGCATTAGGGCAAGCATAAATTTAAATTCGGAGGACCGAATTTCTTAAGGGGGGAAGAATGTAATAACTCATAAAAAAATACATATCATTGTGTTTAAAATTGTAGTTATATTAATTTTGGGACAATTATGACAAGAGGGAGTGTTGGTTTAGTGGAAATATGCATATAGCTTCTTTCATCTGGTCTGGAATTCGAATCTGATGAGGCCAAAAGAGTTTTATTTTTTTTGCATTTTGCTTCATGAATTTACCAAATTACCCTCCTTTCAAAATATGAAATTTCTCTTCCCCTTTCGATCATTCCAGACACGAGAGAGAGAGTGAGAGAGAAAGAGAGGTGCTCTGTTTTTCCCCTTCGTTCTTTCGTTATTCCTCTGGGTCTTCGCATCCTTCTCTTCCAATTCTGCCACCTCTGACCACCACCGTTCGACACACCATCAACAAGAGTAGAAACTCCACTTGCCGCTACTGTGACATTGTCGAGATCTCTTCGTTCTTTCCTGCTCTGTGTTTTCCGTAAACCACTGTATTGTGGTATAAATCGTGAGTTATTCTCTTCCTTTTTCAGCCATGAGTTTCGTCTTCTTCTCTAATTTAGGAGCTGTTGTTATTGAGCAGAAGAATCAAACATTTCTCTCCTCTTATTTATCTGCTTTGTTGTTGCTGTGTAGCGTGAAGCTTTGAGCTCTTCTTGAGTTTAAATTTCTATGTGTGTATGGATGTGTTAGAGGTTTGAAACTGTGCGTATGAATAATGAATGGTTGAAGCTGTAATTTTTATATTTTTGGAAATCTGCTGCTGGCCGTGCTGTGTAGGAAAAAAAAGAATGGAAATTATGCTATATATATATTTGGGTTTATTTGAAATGAGTAGCTTTCATCTTTTGTTCTTTCCCTTGACCAACCTGTGAGTGTGAGGTATGATGTAACCTTGTGGAAATTGCAAGTTTTTCTTTTAAGCCTTGCTGCTGTCCGTGACTGTTGAGGGAAGGGAAGAATGGAATTAAACTACAATTTATGTATTAAAAGTATGATTATGATGAACATGGTCAGAGTTTTTGAGTCAAATAAATTTTGTTTGAATTAAATGATGTTAAAAAAAAAACTTGGACATGAAATTTGGAGGTTAGTGCCTAGAAGACTTTTGTTAAAATTCTTGTGAGAGAGAGTTGTTTGATTGTGCATTTACAAAAATCTCATTAAATTCCTTGGAAGACATAATCGGTTAGGATGCTATGATCTTGTGAATTTAACTTGAAAATGGTAAAAGGAGATATTTGAGAGGGTATTTTTCTATAATTCTCTTGGATCTCGCAAGAAATATGAATTGGCTTGGGTATTGCTCATTTGTGAAATTGAATCAAATATTGCGAAGAAATTTATTTATGTTATTGAGAGATTAAGTGAATTCTTGAAAGTTTTATGGTTATTAATTTATAAAGTATAGTGTTGTCTTAAGATTTAATTTTAGAATTGAATTAGAACTGGAAAGAAATTTTTATAATTATAGGAATTCAATTAAATTGCATTATCTTATATTCTTATAGGGGGTTTGGAAGAAGAAGATTTTGATAGGAACTAAAAAGGGAGAAAATCTTTGAAAATTTGGGAACACCACAGGTAAGTGGATAGCGTCCAAATCAATATATATTAGAAAATTTTCTTTATCAAAAGATTGCATTTAATAATTTAAGGATATTTATAAATTTATCTTGCTTTAGCTACTTTTGTTAATTAAATTGCTCTGCTTCTTGAAGTCATGACTTATACTTTTTATATTGATGAAAATGCTTTCTTAAATTCTAGTAGTGCTTTATTTGATAAAGCCAATTATAAAAAATTTGTGCACAGTTTATGAGATATTAATTGTGAATTTTTATATTTAGAAATATTGGTACTTTTATATGTTTCATGTGAGTTAGATTTTAAAAAGAAAAATTATATTTTGAAAGTGATGATTTCCTCGCATGTCTGAAAGTGAATTTAAAAAGGGACTGTATACAGAACGCTGGTTGCTAACGGCAGTTCCGTTAGCCCTTGGCGCACCATGGTCAATTACTAGCTAGTTTGGATTTCGTGAGCTTTGTTCTCACGTCTGTTATTCGTGGGTCTTGTACCTACGTCTGTTTCGTGGCTTTGACCATGTCTGGTTAGTTACCCTCGTGGACTATGTATCCACGTCTATTTCGTGGCTTCGGCTGCGTCTGGTTACTTAACCTTGTGGACTATGTGTCCACGTTTGTTTTCGTGGCATAAGTCACGTTTGGTGATTTATCCTCGTGGACTATGTGTTCACGTTTGTTATTTGTTCTGATAAGTCCCTATACTTATGAGTTTTTAAATTTTTATGGATCTATTTTCATTGGTTTTGATTAATAACATGTTTACAATTATTTATTGCAATTATTTGCTTTATTAAAGTTAAATGATAATGACATTTGGTACAATACTTTAATAAAATATGATTTTATTCAAAGTTACATAGAATCTTTTTATTCTGAATTTAATTAAGTCTTCTTGTAGATCATTGTGTTTTTTTTTTAATTTTATGTTTGATTATTTATTATTAGGACGTTATTCACTGGAAAATAATTTTTGGTCTCAGATAGTGTAGCTGACGTTGAATCACCCACTGAACATTGAGGAGTTTTTGATTGATTAGAAGCGGAGGAGCTAAGGATTTAACTTTCTCTTAACGTAAAGTTTTAATTATGAAATTTTATTTTGTAAACTTATTGTTAGGTGCTCCACATAGTCTGTGGTCAGTTTTTTTTTTTGTGGTTATATATTTTATCTGTCAGCTGGAAGGAGCTCTACTCTTGATTGGCTTGATATTTTTGGTTGAAATATTATCTTGTAGAATTTTTGGGAGATCTTATTTACGGAGGAGATTCTGTCAAAATTTCTACAAAATATTGAGACTTTTATTACTATAAAAAATGTTTACGTATGTTCTAATTCAAACTAAAACATAATTATCTTTTAGTTATGAAAAGATTACCCAATTCGAGGCTTAAGGGATGTGTGATGGATCACATCCTTTGCCGGTCACCCTCTATTTTTGGGGTGTGACAGCATTAGGCATGGACTTTGATCCTGGAGTTGTAATAACCCAAAATTTTGGTAAAAATATAGTTTAAGGTTAGCTATTTTAATTATATGTTATAGTTTTGGAGCAAATTTAATAAGAGGGATTGGTAGTCTAGTGAAGTGATGCCCACAAAAATTAAGAGACATCACAAGTGTATGGGTTGCAATTGAAGCTAGTGGTAAATCAAGGTTGATCCCTCAAGGAATTAATTAAAATGGTGATTAGACATTAAATTTCCAAATTCATTCATGTTAAGCTAATAAAACTAGAGATTGATTTTAGAACAATTAAAATGAAAATATTAAAAATGATCAATTAATATAACTTCCAATCCACAAATAACTAAAGTCAACTAAGAAAAGAGTGTTCTAGAGTCCTAATCCCCTATTTGCTTTCTAACCCTCTCATTATCACATTAATTGTCTTGAAATTCAGTTTTGATAATCGGGGAATCTAAATTAATCCAAAGTATCTTCTGATTACTAAGGACCTTAATTAATTCAATTATAGCAAAATATTACCTTAATTAATTAATTGCATTAAAGATCCAAACCTATAAGGATTACCTAGGTCCATTAGATACATTCCTGTTTTAATGGCAATTTAGCTAAACTAATCCTAGGCTAATAGTTCTCAAGGTCCAATTTGAGTCTCCTCTTTTAAGGTTCAACCCAAATGCCCAAATCTCACCTAGTGGTGCCCAATCACTAAATAAGAACAATATAGGTCAAGAACAAGTAATCAAGACTTTATTTCTCAATAACTAAATAGTAAATCCAATGTTATTTACACAAATAGGTTCATAGTCCTCTAGAATAAGAAGATTTAGCTACACATAATTGATATGAACATAGAAATAGCACAGAGAAGGGCCCATTCTAAAAGGCCAAGAACAAAGGAGAAATCATAATGGCTATTAAGGGTTATAGAGGGGCCCATCTACATCTGCCCCTGCCCCTAGTGCAACGGGCTCATGGTAGTATGCCAACTGTAGGTGTTATCACTCTAGACTGTGTTAGGTCTATTATATTTTCAAGATGCCCAACCATATCGCCAAATTTTATAGAGATAATTAAGACATGAATGCGAAGAACCTTGATCAATGCCCATCGCATCTGGTCACGCATTTGCTCTATCTTTCAGGACACTGTGAATTCTTCAAATGCAATGAAAGGTATAATCAGAATTCTTAATTGTATCATACATGTATTGTTTGATTCAAATGCTACGCACTCCTTTGAATCTAAAAGTTGTGTTGAAATTTTGAAATTGGTTGTATGTATTTTTCCATTTTATATGAATGTGTTTACTCTAGCCAATGCATCTGTGAGGACTACTAAGGCTTGTTTAAATCATGAGGTCAAGTTTGATGACAAGAAGGCCATTATAGACTTGATTGTCCTACCATTAAGAGGTATAGATGTGACCATGTGAATGAATTGGATGTTTGCAAATAGTGCCATTTTAGACTATAAGGACAAGAGTGTGTCTCTATTGGCCTTGTGTATGACTCTAGTGGAAACACAAGACCAAGTGTTTTTATCAGTGGCACAAGTTGATAAGTGTGTGAAGAAGGGTTGTTAGGATACCATCAATTGTGCCTTTTTGAAAATGTTCGAGAACAAACTTTAGCCCTTATTTTTTCACCAACTACATGAGCCCTTAAAGCAACATTGTGTCTCACGTACGCACACTTACATACTTTAATATTTTATTTCACTTTGGTATTCTAAGGAAATTGTGAAAAAGAACCTTATGAACTCGCAATTATTTGTACATTACTCTATTTTGAAGATTTGCTCTTCTAGTAGAACATCACATCTAGCAATTCCAAAGGGGTATAAATGCTCCACACCCGAAATCCAAACTAATGCCAACATTAACATTTTTAAATGCAAAATTTATTACTTTTTTGTTTCTTTTAATTACTTTGGGGCTTTTTTAAAATTAACAAACAAGAAGTGATTTTCATATTATTTAAAAGAGTAATTATTGCTCTTACTTAATTCTTCTTTTCCATTCAATAAAGGATATGAAAGAAATTTTTTTAAAAAGATAAGAGATTATTTTAAATATTTGTCTAAGTAGCTTGTCAAAATAAGATGAAATATCCAATTTATAAACATTGGATGTATAGTGAAATGAACTTTAACCAAAACCAATCAAATCAATCACCCTGCAGCCGCCCATGCCATAATGCAGTATAATTATTGAAGGGTATGGATATGATTGTGCGAATGAACTTGCTGTCTGCAAATAGTGCCATTCTAGACTGCAAGGAGAGAAGTGTGTCTCTATTGGCCTTATGTGTGACTCTGGTGGAAATTCAAGACCAAGTGTTCTTGTCAGTGATGCAAGTTGATAAGTGTGTGAAGAAGGGTTGTTAGGATACCACTAACTACACCTTTTTGAAAAGGAAAAATGATAATTAAGAACCCTCTAAGAACATTAATTTTAATTAAGGACCATAATATTTTGAAATACTAGTTAAGCACCATGGTCCTTAATTGAGATAAAAAAATGTAGTTTCTGATGTGGGATTCATTGATATCACTTGGAAACCCACTAATCCAACTTGAGAAAATAGATAACGTATATTATAAAAATCGATTGTTTACCAAAACCACACCACTTGGGAATTCACTAACTTGACTTGAAAAAATTTCTAATGTATTGTGAAAATATGAAACCCCATTTAGGAATCAATTGTTTAACAAAAAAATCCCAATTTGGACAAGACACTATTTGTTAAACAATCGATTCTCAAGTGGGGTTTCATTTTTTCACATTATACGTTAGAAATTTTTTCAAGTCTGATTAGTGAATTCTCAAGTAACGCTTTTTGTTAAACAATCAATTCCCAAGTGAAGTTTCATATTTTCACAATACACGTTAGAAATTTTGTCAAGTTGGGTTAGTGAATTTTCAAGTGGTAATTTTTGTTAAACAATCGATTCTCAAGTAGGGTTTTATATTTTTACAATATACGTTAGCAATTTTCTCAAGTTTGGTTAGTGAATCCCACTTCAGAAACTACATTTTTTTATCTCAGTTAAAGACCATGGGATTTAAAAATATTATAGTCCTTAATTGAGATTAATGTTCCTATAGGGTTTGTCATTTTCCCTTTTGAAAATGCTTGTGAAAAAACTTTAGCCCTTATTTTTTTATCAACTACTTTAGCCCTTATTTAAAAGAGTAACTATTGTTCTTACTACACGAGTAATTTTTCTTTTCCATTCAACAGAGGATATGAAAGAACACTTTTCTGAAAAGATAAGTTATTATTTTAAATATTAGTCTAAGTAGCTTATCCACGGCAAGATGAAAATATCCAATTTATAAACCTCAGATGCATAGTGAAATGAACTTTAATCAAAACCAATCAAATCAATCACCGTGCAGCCGCCCATGATGCAATATAACTATTTAAGAATATAATCATCATAATCAATCAAAACAATAAGTATTGGCCACAACATCATAATTCAACATATATAATAATTCATGGATCATCCACTTGGCCACAATTGCTAGAGCCTTTTCCACACATTGCCTATTCATTCTCCAATTATTATGATAGTTTTAGTTTAGTGGAGAAAAGGGTTTTTGATTATGAATAATTTTATCCTCTTAATTAGAAGAACAAAATCAAAAACAATTTTATCCTCTTATATGATTCATGGTTTGCTGTCCGCAACCAGAAGAGAAGGGATGAAGGAGAAGGAAGAAAATGGGGAAAGAGATGATAAGAAGATATGGGGAATAAAACGTTGAAGAAGGAACCAAAAATAGAGGAACCAGATATAAAACCATGATGCATCTCAACTCCTCTCTTCAAACCCTCTTATTTATAAATTAATTTTTTATAGTCAAAGAAGAATAATTTTTTTGTTTTAATTAAATAATGTTATTTTAGTTATGACCATTCTAGTCCCGGTTTGATCTTGCTTAAATCATTGATCCTTAAATTGCTATCTCGATTGACTCAATGATCGATCTGGTCCAACCTTAAAAAAAAAAAAGAACAAAAAGATTTATCTATTTATTTTTGGGAGAATTATATTGAAGTATCACATAATGACATTAATTACTACAAAGTTTATTGACAACTGAACTATGTTGTCAATATAGTTTAGTTCAGTTGTCAATGGACCTTGCAGTAATTAATTTTCTTGTATGGGACCTGACTATAATTCTCCCTTATTTTTTCTATGATAAAATGATCAAAACCAATCAAAATAATCTCCCACACACACATATATGTATAGGAAGATTGGATGATTAGATAATCGTTGAATGATTCAAATTAGTTTCTTCTTCATTTTCGTTTACATGCAAGAGAAAACCGATAGGATGTTAATCAGTTTAAAACCCATCTCCAATGCATTTAGGATGATATAGACAACATGTTTTCTTAATTACTTCCGTCCCTAAGGCCCATTAACCTTAGACACCCGCGCCCTTGTCCGTGTAAAGTGTGTTTTTGTGTCCTAGGATCCTAAGAAATTTACCTCACAAAATTAAGCAACAAAGCATTAACATTAGACAGAATAGGCTGTAAAACAACATGACAAGAACTTTTTTTTTTACTAAGGATGATTTCTCCGATATCATCGTAAAGATTCCATCAGCTGTAATTAGATTTATGACAATTAATTGCCAAGTTTGGGAGATTAATCATTGGTTCTCTACTTTTGATTTACCAAACAGAGTAATAGTGACACATTTGTGGATCAACGAGATGCCTAGATACTTCCTCAAATGCACG